AGAAACCCACATGGCACAACAGACCTCTCTTGCCTTGCCGCTGCTCCCCTCAGCAGTGTCTTCCATATGTCTGCCTGTTCTGCCCCCTGCTCTATCTCTGGTGAATTTTCTCGCCCTCCCATGCCTCTGACTATACCCCAGTTCTTCTATAAATAAATCAATCTTAAAAAAAAAGATTAGGTCCCCATTTATGAGACACTCCCTGCTGTGTAAGGGATGGAAGCAAGGAGACGAGTTAGAAGGTAGTATGTGATCTAGAGAGGACCAAGGTCTGAAGTAGAGCATTGGCTTTGAGAATATGTCAAGGAGAGGACTGATTAAAATAAGGAGAATTTACTAGACAGATTACGAAGTTAAGGGGAGGGGCAGAATGGAGGTGAGGGATGAGGTAGAGGTGGAATAGTGGCAAATAAAAAAATAATAACAGAGACTAATATTTCAAGTGTTTACATTGTGTCAAGCACAATGAAAGAGTTCTACACTTTTCTCTTTTAACCCACACAACAATCCTATGAAGTGCTCTTTTTTCCCTCCATTTACCGATGAAGAAAATGAGGCATAGGAAAGCTAAATAACTTGCTCAAGATTTCACAGATAGTGAGTGTAGCACAACCAATCCATACCAGATAGCTTCATTATCATTTCTAGCAGCCGGGTTGATGCCTTCATGCTCTCTGCTGTCCGTCGCCGCACTCCATAGCACTCTGTCACACTCCAACGCACTCTGCCTCTCTCCGCCTCAAACCTCCATCAACTCCATTGCACTCCTCCAATCCTTGGCACCATGCTGCGCCACACCACGCCACGCCATGCCATGCCACATGTGCCACACCATGCCGTTTGGCCAAGCGCACATGCACAGTGGGAAAGGAGGAAAAGCCTGAAGCTTTCCCCCCCTACTTACCCTGCAATGCACCCCCTTAGGGTTTTCCACCATAAAGTCTATATGCAAGTATATACAAGTTTCCTTTAACAGACATAAACACAGCAGCCATGGCTCACAAAAGCAAACAGTATACATTGCAATATAACTAAGTTCAATTCTCCTTGGGGTGAAAAGATAAATAAGTTATTGGTACCAGCAATGGGAGATCCCTCCCATCTGGCAATATACATGACAATTTTGTGTCCGAAGATAATATTGTAGCTGGCATCAGTGGCCTTCCAGGTCGTGAGTACCACACTTGCTTTGCCAGCAAAGAGACATCAGAGGGCTCTACATGTAGCAAGAGTGGTGAGCTCATAATAGGTCACAGAGTCATCCCAAATGTCCCCTTTAGGATCACCTTCTGATTTGCCACCCCAGGGTGAGTAACACGCACCCGTGGCGGCCACTGTGCAGTAACCCATGGTCTTATTTGTAAATTCACCTCCAGGCCACGACCCCAAGGGACTATCAGAACCAACCAGCACATGTGGGGAGCCTTCACAGTCCAGGGTCATTCCTAGTCCACAGTCTTCCCTGGGTCCATACCAGTCAGGGCTGGCAATAAAATGTTGCCCTACTGTCCAAATCCAGGCTTTAACAAAATAGCCGATGTTTGCAACAGCAATTGGATGGGTGCAGTGGCACAATGCAGCAACACCTCCACTGGAGCCAGGCCGCCTTTCCTGCTCCTCTCATTTAGTGTTCGTAGCACATCCCACAGACGTCATCTCCACCCAGCCAGTGTCAGAGTGGGGGCAGTAGCTCTCAATACTTGCTTTTGCAAGCTGTTATAACACTCTATGATTCCTGCAGCTTTGGGATTATAGGGAGTGTGAAACTTCCATCCATCACTCATGTTCTTGGCCCACTGCTGCACCTGGGCTCCTATAAAATGATCTCCTTGATTGTTCTCCACTACCAGAGGACGTCCATATGCAGCACATAGACATGCCAGCGCTGCCAAAACTGCCTTTTGGTCCCCATGTGAAGCAGGATAAGCTGCCAATAACCCGGTAGGAGTATCCACACAGGTGACAGCATACTGTTGTCCATCGGAGCAAGGTAGTGGTCCAATGATGTCAAACTGCCAGCATTTCAGGTGTAGCTGCCTCCTCAACACCTGGCCTGTGGATGCAAAAGGTCTCTGTGTGTTAAGTCCTGGAACACACTACACATTGTTCACAAACAGTCTGAACCTCCTCTAAAGTTACAGGTAGACCCCAGGTATGCACAGTGGCCCCCATTGTCTTTTGCCCTGCGTGGAGTAATCGTCTGTGCAACCACTGCACAACATTCCACCCCGGAGCAGTTTCAAGCCATTGAACCCGGGCTAGGATATCTGCTTCATCGTTGCCTGGTGAAGCCAATGGGGCATGTCCTGTGACATGATAAATAATCACCTGCTTCTGATGCCCTAGATCCCATAGATCTTTCCATAGGGCCTGGTCCCACAATGGTCAATGCATGACTGTCCAGTCATTTAGATTCCACGTGGAAATCCACAGTGTCAGGTCCCTGTACACAGCCCAACTGTCAGTACAAATTACTAGAGGGGATGGCTCATGGGCCATCACCATCCATACTGCTCGCAGCTCAGCCAATTGGCCACTCTGTCCTGTCCTGGTTTCAAACCAAATAGTGTCCCTTTCTGGGTGTACAGTCATAGCTGTCCAAGAAACTGGTTGGGCCCAGATGGAGCTGTCCATATGCTAGGCCTCTGCTGAAATCGGTGTTCGTCCCTCCTTGTAGGGACTAGCTTCAGGTTCGGCTTCTACACAGGCTTCTGAAGTTGGTTCCATACTGACATGCATCACCAGACCAAGAACTTCCTGCAACTACACCCTTAAGGGGCTAGTTGACAGGGTACAGCGCTGTTCTAGGTGGGCCCCCACTTCTCCAAAGTGGCATTTGAGTATTAGCAGCATGGGGCTTTGCTGTCCAATCCCGTACCCATCTGGCTATTGTGTAAGTGGTTCTCACTAAGATAGAAGCTGTGACAGTTATACTTTCAGTAGCTAGTAAGGCTGCATATACCACAGCTAGCTGTTTTTCAATTAAGGAATACCTAACCTCAGCCCCCTTCCAGAATTGGGACCAGAACCTAATAGGCTGTCGTAGCCTCTCTGATTTCTGCCAGAGTCCCCACCCGAACCCTTCTGAGTAACATACATATCTAGCTCACAGGGTCCGGCTGGGTCAAAAAGCTGCAAGGCCTGAGCAGTCTTTATAGTTCATTTGGCTGTGCCAAATGCTGTGTCTGCCTCAGCTGAGCAATCCCACCTGACCCCCTTACGTACATCAACCCATACAAGGATCGTAGGAGCTGGGCCATGTGAGGTATAAATGCCCTCCAGTAACCCAGCAGGCCCAGAAACGCTTGTAGCTGCTTCACTGTGGTTGGAGTAGGGTAAGCTTATACTTTATCTATTACAACTTCAGGGATAATCTTTGTCTTACCCAACCAAACAACCCCCAAGAACTTAAAGGACAGCCCAGGCCCCTGCAGTTTGTTTTAGTTGATTGTCCCACCACATATATTCAGGTGTGTCAATAGGAGAGGTACTGCCTTTTCCAAATCTGCAAGAGAGTCACTAGTCAATAAAATGTCATCAACGTAATGATACAAATGCATTGAAGATGGCCTCCCCCACCAGGCCAGATCTGCTACCACCAGCCCTTGGCACAGAGTAGGGCTATGCAGATATCCCTGTGGGAGCACAGTGAATGTCCATTGCCAGACTTCCCACATGAAGGCAAACTGTTCTTGACTCTCTGGAGCTTTATCTATTGAAAAAAAAAAATTGCCAGATCGGCTACAAAATGATACATGCCTAGCTGATGGCTCAGACCATCCATTAAATCTACCACTGAAGGCCCTGTAGCATGCAAGGGGGTATATACCTTACTTAACTCACTATAATCTACTGTCATGTGCCAAGAGCCATCGGGCTTCTTCACTGGCCACACCGGCGAATTGTAGGGGCTGTGGGCATTACTCACAATGCCCACTTCCTCCAATTCTGATATTGTGCCCATAATTTCCTTGTGGCCTCTGGGCAACTGATATTGCTTGGTATTAGCCACTCACCCAGGGACTGGCAGTTGTACGAACAGATGCTTAGCATGTCCTCACAACCACTGCCTTTACCACATGCATTCTAAGGCGAAACTCTTTGACTGTGGTCTCTAGCCATAAGCCATGTAGTACATCCATAATACATCTGGGATGAGCCATACATATACTTCATACTCTTTTGGGGGGTAATCGCCCAATCCCCAGGGGTAGTCTCACTGCTGTCACCTTGACACTCTGGCCTCCATAGCCATCAATGTAACAAGCAGACCCTTGAAATTTTTCTGGATTTCCATAGTGCAGAGTACATTCTGCTCCTGTGTCTACCAAAGCCAAATCTCTTTGCACGTTAGTGGGGGAACCAGTGGATGGCAAGCTCCACATGTGGCCTTCGGTCCTCGCCCATCTGTCCCCTGTGGATGGGTTCCTTGGCCCTCACCCTATTCAAAAGTGATCAGGTCATCGCCCGAGGACGAGGTAAGCAGCAAGTGGTCTTCCAGGTGCAGGGCGCGTGCCTGAGGCCTGAAGCTTCCAGACTTCCCCTTATTAGCAGTCATTCTTATGAGCATGAACCTCTGGTATTCTTGCAGTTGCTTCCATAATTCTAACAAATATGCATCGTGCTTTGCATGTATTTTAGTATGATCTACACCTGCCCGTATTAAATCTGTCCACATTTGGTTATGGGTAACTTTAACAGGTTCTGTGATGTCAAGAGTCTTCCTTGCCCTCCTTGGCATTCTTTTTGATTGTTCAACAATTACCTGTATTCATTTCTGAGTTTGAGAGTTTGGGCTCCCGACTTCACCCAAGCTAGCTATCATTGTTTTGATGTTGTGTATCTGACATCTCACATAGGGTGCTAGAATTGCCATGAGGGATCTAAATGAGGATG